CCCGCCACTGGCTTCTCCCGAGGCTTTGCAAAGCCGCGGAGGGGCTCAGGCGGCGTATAAGACGACCCCCGATTTTTGGGGGATGTTTTTTAGCATCAAAAGTAGTCTTATACGCCGGAAAATACAGTAACTTACAAAAAATGCACAGTGAAGCTTTTCAAAATGAAAACATGAAGTAAACTAAATAAAATAAAACTGACCTGTTAGGAGTAACAAGCTAAATGTGTCTTCTGACTAGCGAATTTAGCGTTTTTAAACACATTCCTCTAAATGACATTTAGAGGAGGCAGTCCATTAAACCAAATTTAGTTTTCAAAAAAATACAGAAATAGGTTTCTGCTTATGTCCCTCGCCAACTGCTATATATTTCAAGGCTTACCCATGCTTGATCTACTTTGTTCTGTTAGACTAAGGGTGTGTCTAGACTACCTAGTTTTGTCGACAAAAGTGGACTTTTGTCGACAAAACTATACCAGCATCTACACTACCGCTGAGTTCTGTCGACATAACGTCGACAGAACTCAGCAGTTTTGTCGACGCTGGTATACCTCATTTTACGAGGCATAACACCTTCTGTCGACAGAGGCATAAACCTAGAATACTAGATTTGTTCAGTTTATTGCTGTCACTTTATCAGATAGGAATTAAGATGCTGTTGCAAATATCTTATGAATAGCACCACAAAGTTTGGCAGAATGTGAAAAGTGTTATTCTAACACACAAAAAGAATTTTCACTTGGATTAGGGAAAAGAGTTCAGTATAAATGCTCTCTGCAACAAAACATGAACAAGATACAAATTTTATTGCTGTTTGTGTTGAAAACTAACTTGCTCTTTCTACACCCACACTGGCCAAAGAAGTTCATGATAGTCACCTGGAGCAGATGAACACAAAACCAGTCCAGACTTCTGAATTTAACTACGCAGAGATGATTTTGTCTACTTTTTTTTCAATGTTTTTTTTATTTACCATTATGGTAATAGTGACTGTATATTGGCGTGATAGAATTTTAAGACTCTTGAAGTTGTCTTATTTCCTCCATGGTAGAGGTAATGGGCATAATGCCTGCATGGCAGAGCATCAAAGGAAGTTGCATGAAGGCAGATAATTTTTAAACTCAGTCTTAGTGCTTTGAATGTGGGGAGGGGTGTGTGTTTGTATGCGAAGAGGGAGAGTGCACGTGTGTGTGAGAAAAAGAATGTATGTGTCTTTCTAAGCTGTCATAAAGTCTGTACCTCCCTTCCAGCAGAGGGGGATGGGGGAGGGGGAACCTCAGTGTTGAGGACACAACTTTGTATATGCTTGTTCGTTGCTGGTCCTTGAGCATCCCTGACTTCACTTTAGGAAGTGCAAAATCTGTACATGGTGGTCCAGGCTCTCTGTCCTGCGGCTGGATCTTCTCCTGTAATTTAGTCTAGATCTTGTAGTGTCTTAGTGTTTCCTCAGATGGATCTCCATGGGGATATGTATGAAGACAGTAAAACTTTTTGCTTCTGAAGACGACAGATGATCTCAAAGTATTTCCCAGAGAAGAGTATAGTGATACTAAATTTTCTTACAGCAAAGAGATTCTAAATCCCATAATCCTCCAGGGGTAAGATTTCATCAAAGCTTGCAGGAAGCCGATGTCGGTCTGAGTGATATGATTTTTTTATAAAAACAAGTAGTCCTGTGGCACCTTAGATACTATATATATATATATATATATATATATAAGGTTTGTGGGCAAAACCCACTTCTTCAGATAAGCTCATGAGATCATCTCGTCTCAGGATCATCTCATCTCAAGAATAGGATTACTCATTGTTTTTAAAGTTACAGACTACCATGGTTACCCCATATGAGTCTGATACGAAATTCTTTCTCTTTGGGGGTAGCAATATGGCATTTGTGAGCTAGATGTGTCTTGGATTAGCATGGACTCCTGGACAGCTGGTTGTAGTCAGGAAAATTGCCACCCTGGTAGGAGCTGCAAAATCTTCCAAACGTGAACAGATCTGAATACAATGAGGGCTGCCTTCCAGGGCTGCAGAGAGCTAGCTTTGTTGTGTGTCTGCTACTGCTTGTAACTGCTAAGCAGCAGTAGAGTGAAAACTGACCAGAGTCTTATCAGCTTTTACTGATGTTACTCAAAGCATAGTGGGCAGCAGAAGAAGTGAAGGGTTACGGGTTCACATCTCTAGTACATGTTATATTAAGAGCTTTTTCCTTTTCTGCCATGTACATATCTACCCATTGTTTCACAGTCTGACCTCTTCCTTAAAATGTGGAACTGCTCTGAATTCTGCCATGATAATTAAGGCATCTGTTTCTTTATGAGAATATAGGTGGTAGCTTGCTACTGTGGACAAATCTAGTACATTTTAAAGAAGATTTTAAAAATTGTTTTTTTTCTTATTTTATTGACAGTAGTCTAACTGTTGCTTAAGTCGGATTATATTCAGGTATTTTAAGATTTTAAATGTCTGCTGCTTTACTTGAACTCATGGGAAGGTTGCAAGGTGACACAGTATAGCTATAGCTCTAGTTAGGGCCCTGTGCTTCAGTACAACGTAAGTACCACTTCAAAAGAGCAAAATAAGCATAGAATCTGCTAACAGGTCCCTTTAGGGACTTAGGTGACGTGACTGTGGGTATGTCTAGACTACATGCCTCTGTCGCCAGAGTCATGTAGATTAGGCTACCCGACATAGGAAAATGAAGCGGCGATTATTTAAATCGCCGCTTCATTTAAATTTACATGGCTGCCGCGCTGAGCCGACAAACAGCTGATCGGCTGTTTGTTGGCTCAGCACTGTAGTCTGGACACGCAGGGGTCGACATCAAAGGCATTTGTCGACCACCCAGGTATGCCTCCTGGGATGAGGTTTACCTGGGTGGTTGACAAATGCCTTTGATGTCGACCCCTGCGTGTCCAGACTCCAGCGCTGAGCCGACAAACAGCTGATCAGCTGTTTGTCAGCTCAGTGCGGCAGCCATGTAAATTTAAATGAAGCGGTGATTATTTAAATCGCCGCTTCATTTTCCTATGTCGGGTAGCCTAATCTACATGCCTCTGGCGACAAAGGCATATAGTCTAGACATACCCTGTGTCTCTAGACTTGAAAGGAGATAGAAGGAAGTGACCTTTAATGCACTGCACTTCTGAAATTCTCTTTAATGTTTGTTATGATTGGTTCTCTCTGTTTAGTGCTCTCTTCATGCTAGAGAAAAGGAGATTCTGAGGCAATTTAGATCTACTGTTACATTCTGCTCACTTAAGAGAAACATTACCACAGGGTCAGAATATCTTTGGCAGCGTTCTATGAGAATGGGACAATAGATAGGGAGTATAAAGAAAAAATAATCAGATTTCACGCAATCCTGTGTTACAGATGAATTCATAGACTGAAATTTGCTGCTTAATCCATGACATCAGACAGTGTTCAAATTTCAGTTGTTGTTCCTGGGAGATAAATATTCATTTAGAACTGATCTCTGCTAATACATGAAACGTATTTTATTCTCTATTAGCTGGTGAACATCTGTTTGAGTTAAGGTGTGATAAGCAGTCTCTTTTTTTGCATTTGTACTTGTAATTTAACTTAGAGGTGTCCAAAATTTAAATATTTCATAACAGTGGCTGCAGAAAATAATTAAATATTCCCTGCTCTCGGCAAAAGCCACAAAGAATAGGCATTTCCTTCAGTCACTTCACTAACAACCTATTTTCAATAGAATTACTAGATTTAAAAAAGTGATGTGGCCAAAAAGGATGCATTACTCTGAC